CACAGCTGGTTACCAAATGAAATCCAGCCAGAACGTCACTTGTTGCAGTGGGAATTATCTCCCCTTGTATGCTAAGGCGCACGCGCAAGACTATAAAAAGGCTAAATAAATAAGCCCTGGTAAATTTGGGTGCAAATATGAAAGAGAAGCGAGAGGGTTTATAACCCTCTCGCTTCTCTTTCCATATTTGCACCCAAATTTACCAGGGCTTATTTATTTATTCTGGTACTGTAGGTTTTTAACATCCGCCCCCACACAACTTCAATCAGCAAAACCTATAGGTTTATTCTTCCTTTTCATTTGTCTAAACCCAAGAATATATTTTCTCTTTATAGGAAAATATATAAAATAACCGCAATTGTTGAAATGTGATCCCTTCTGTAAAAACTGATATTCAATTTCTTCTAAAATCTTAAAACCCAACCAATGTATCGCACTCTTGTGGGTATATTAAGATGATATTAAAACTTGTTTTTTTTTAAACCTTTTGTACTGTCTAATTGTTCGTATAATAGCAACCTGGAGCATCTTTAAATCATTTAAATCCAAGAAAGGCAACAAAGCAACTAATGCACAAGGGGATAAGGGGTGTTGGAAAATATGAGAAAAATAAACTATTAAAAAGAGAGGACAATAAAAGATCAAGAACTTAGAAGTCAAAAGATAAAATTGATATTTTATTTACATTTTTGAAAAATAAAACTTGAATATGAAACAAGAAGCCAGAAAATTTCCACAAGTGAAAAGTGCGATAGAAGAAACTTTTGGCATAGAATTAGCGGTTACATCTCACCATTTCAACTCTAAAATGATGAGACTTTGTCGCCAATCTAGTATCGTGCTTAAATTTATAAAATCTAGTTAACATAGAAGAAAGTTTATCCGAACAATTAGCATGAAATTACTTATAGAAAAGGTGTAGCGAAGCTACAGTACGGCAGTGGGAGAGTTATTGAATCCGAGATCTCATGTCATGATCAATAACATTGCAGATTCTCCTCTGGATTTTATTAATAATCTCTAAATATATGACAGCAGCACCAGACCAGACCAGACCAGACCAGACCAGACCAGACGCGGCAACACTATTCAAATCATTGTTGACTTATAAATATATAAGATAGGACATGATGATAAAAAAGTGTCTACATCGACACAGAAAACCAACTTTTCCTGATGCAGATATAGCTATTGATTCAATATACGAATTCAACTTATGTCAGCGGAGAACGTTACCCCTAGTAGGAGCAACAAGTCACTCTCTGTAAGTTAGCATCATTCATACTGATAGAATTTTAAAATAGTTCTACGAGACGATTAAAAGAGAGCAGTTTCGTTTTGGAGGCGTTAAAATTAACATATCATTCCTTGCCCCAGTTAACAACAGATTGTAGATCATTTTGTTTTTATATCAGCTGCCAATTAGACCTCATCGAACCGATTAGACTTACTATTAGGCCAGGTATAAGTAGTTGTGTCATTAGAATAGATACTGAGCTGAGAACTGATGAAATCAGGATGGTCATTTATGAACATGGACATCGTAGGTCCAAGGATAAAGCTCTGTGTAAAACCTGTATCCATGCAAACATATTTATAAAAGTGACCATTCAATACTAATTTCAATTTGCAATTTGATAAGAAAGACTGAATCATTTCAAAAATTCGTCTAGAATTACCATAACCTTTCACCTTGTGATGAAGTCCAATATATCAAACCCTGTGAAATGCCTTCGAGTTTTCGAAAGCAACAGACAGAACTTCACTATTCATATCTAAAGCTTGATAGACTATTTCAATAAAACTTATTAAAGCATCCTGCAGAATTCAGTTACGAAGCCGCAACAAACTCTGCAGTAACACCTTCGGTAGCATATCAGTATATATATATATATATATATATATATATATATATTTCTTTTCTGGTAATTCAACCAGTGAGATCTGTATAATTGTGATCCACTTGTTCCTCGTTTTCCGTCTTTGGGATTGGTTGCGCTTTGTCTGGATCACCGTCTTTGACTTTTGTGCCAAGGTTGGACCTATGTGAATTTATAATTCCCAACGGCATCGCTCTCAAAATCATTGCACTAAGATAGCCCCTCCCCATCCAGCACGACAAGGCGTAACCATCAAATGTACACACATAGAAACATATACGCATAAACACATATATCGTTATCAGATATACCCCATGTACCAAACAAGAAATAAAAATAATAAAAGTATGAAATTATCATCAAATATATGCGAGCTTTTTTATTATTGTTTTGTTAAAATGATTTGAAACATAAATAATAGTAGAAGAAATTGTTTATTCTAATCTGAATACATAGTAAAAAAACAAAAAACAAAACAAAATAACGTTACGAATCGAAACAGTTTTCTTACAAATTGGAAAATAGGCCCTCGTCCATGAAAAAGGTTACGTTACTACAATCAATAAATAAGAAAATGATAAAAGACTAAAATTATTGGCCAATGTTGTTAAAATGTTTGAGTGATAAATGGCCGGGAAAGATATCGACAATACTGAAACAATAGTTAAATTTAAAAATAATTACAAAATAAACATTACGACACCAAATTCTTCTCCTACAATTTTGATAATTGTGTCCTCATTCATAAAAATGAGATTAAAGGGATATCATCTTGGTAACCGATAACTGCAGAAAAAAGAAGAAAATGTGATCAGAATTAACATAAAATAGATAAATGTAGCAAAGATAAAATGACATCTTTGAGAAATGTGCACAAAAGAATTTGTAGACAAAATTTACTGCGAAAAGGATACATGGAAAGGGAGGCATTATCGACAGCAGTAGCTATCAAGAGGCATAAATATAAAACAAATGCTGTGCGTGTGTAAACCAAGTATAATCTACCAAATATATTAATGAATGTTGCTGATTAATAGAGGAAAAGTACACAAATAAAAAGTCTAAAAAGGTTCTGAATTCGACTTTGTGTGTTAAAAGCAAAAATGATTAAGATACTCGTTTGCATAATTACTGGAGGGGTCGGTACTTTTTCCATTGAATTAGGCAAATCATAGTTCCATCTCGGAAATATCGTTGTTGTCATCATTTAAGATCATTATATATTATCTACAATGACTGATAGTCTGATACGGTTTCTATCCACCTTCTGAGCAACGTAAGGTGACAGAGGATGGAAAGCAAACGCCAAAGAAACTATTATGAAACGAACATTTCTTCATCAGTAATGAAGTTAGTCATTTTCAACGTTTCTTGCAATACACCCTTCTATTATTATATACACAGACACATATATCTGTGGAATCAAACATAACATGCCGTGATGATATTGGTTTAAGATTACTGCTTTCGAAGTAGTTACCCAGTGTAATCTGATCGTAATGAATACATAAATGTTACTCCAATTGCAATCTTTCTGGAATATTAGCTATTAAATAATAAAAAAAAACGTCTGGAACATTATTGAAGTCATTTTCATGGAGAAAATTCTAATGATCTATCCTTTTCAAAATATTAATATGAATTAAAGTAAACTATATTATATTGCAACATTCGAAATTATCAAGCTTCAAGTCAGGAAAGATAATACAATGGAAGAACATTGCAGACTGTGTCGTCATAAAACAATATCGCAATTAAAATATATGTTGGTAATCAAAATCATAAGCATAGTAGCAGCTGTAATTAAGTATATTTTTGTATATGCAGTCACATTCTCACAGACGTGCTGTGGCTTCCCTCTGTCCTTTCTACAAAGATTTTCATGGCAACTGCTCTGACGCGCTACCTTCTTACCCAAACTGCATGAATTTAAACATGAGACTATGTTGGTATCTCTGTCCCACACTTTCACTAGCCAAACGGTTAAATGTAGTCGTCTCTTCTACTTCATCAGCTTCTTGTCTTGCACTTCCCGACAGTGAAACTTTCTTCCACTTACTTGCTTCACTGATACTTATTATCTTCAAATATTCAAATGTAATATCAATCGACATCTTCTGATGTCCCGATCTTGATCCGCTTTCTTCTCTTTATCTTTTCCTCAAACACCTTTCTTTACTCTTGCTCTTTGTAACCCCTTGCGTGCTAGTGGCACTCCCGCCTTGCTAGGGGTGATATGCTTAAAAAATATTAGTTTGTAATTTGTCCCAAAAATAAGAACTAATCGTCAGTTAGAACATTTGAATGTCTTACTGAAGATAATGGGAGACCATCGTCTGCCCAAGATAGGTCTGCATGGCGTGCTCTCCACTGGCCTGTGTGACAGGGGGCACCAAGCAAGCGTTATAAGGACTCCCTCAAGAAGTCCCTCGGAACCTGCCACATTGACCATCGCCAGTTGTCGATTCTTGCTGCTGACCGTCAAGCCTGGAGCTGCACCGTCCACCAGGCCGTCTACACCTTTGAGGACACTCGCAGGGCCGACCTGAAGGAAAAACACCGCGGGAGGAAGGACCGGGAAGTCTCAGCAGCTATACCAGACCAGACCTTTACTTGCAGTCGCTGCGGGCAGTCTTGCCTGTCCCGCATCAGCCTACTTGACCCTCGGCGTGCTTGCAGTCGATGTGGACATCACAGTTTATAAATCTTCGTTCGAGAAGCAAAACCAAAGAATATCTTATACCATACCATGATTGATTTTAATTTGATTAAAAACTATATAAGTGTCAGTGTTAATCCTCATCTGATTGTGTTTTTACATCATCGTCAGAATACTGTGCAATACTATAGTTACGTAGTTGTTTTTTTGTTTATTCATAGCCGAATATAAATGAAAAATAAATTAATAGAATTAAATGGGAAGGTTGGAACCAGAAATGAAAAAATCTAATCTGTTCGGTTTCACTGACAAAAAGAATAAAAGACACATGGTTTCAGTTATTGATTGGGAAGCATATTTTATTAAAAACAAACTTCAACTCACAAACATTATTGTTTTGAAGGCATCAAGAGAAAATGTATTATTCAATTAATTTATTACTCAGTCTGTTTTAGGTTTCTTTAGTCATTGTTTATACTGTCACATACAAATATTCCAAGTAGCATATTGGACGATAAAGTTGGCAAATCTACAGCACAATCGTTATGGGTATGCATTGGCAGAAAGCAAGCGAACAGGGAAGATGGTGAGGAGAGAAGCGGTAATAAATAACAAGAATTATCTAAGAAAATAAAAAGTGACATAAACAAAGAATAAAAAGAGGAGGATTTAAGAAAGAAGGAAAATATAAGATTGGCTAATCGAAAGAGAAAAAGGGAGATACTAAACAAGTAAAAAATGTTTTAAAATATTAAGAAAACTAATGGAATGAGGAATATAAAAGAAAAAGAAACGAGAAATAAATAACATGAACGAATAAATTTCATAAAAGAAGATTATTTTAACCAGAGAAAAACAATAAAAAGATAGATAGAAAGATAGATAGATAGATAGATAGATAGATAGATGTGAGCAAACATAGATTGATGGATGGATGTGAGCAAACATAGATAGATTGAGAACACACGTAGATATATTAGATGGATAAATGAGAACAGACGTACATAGATTGATAGATGTAAACAAACGTAGATAGATAGATAGATAGATAGATAGATAGATAGATAGATAGATAGATAGATGTGTAAATAAAATTAAGCAAATCTATGAATCCAAGAATGGAAGAAATCAAAACCGACAAAATAGAAGAGGATGAAAGACGAACGAAAAAAAATAACTTCTACGAAAGTCAAAATGAATGAATGAGTGACAATATTGTAAACCATTTAAACATCAAACAAAGAGAGGAAGACAGGGAGGAACAAAAAAAAATGATTCACTTCGTGTAACACAAAGAGATTAATGCCAGAAAGGTAGGGAATAAGAAGAAATTTGAAAATAACGTTGAACGAATGAAATCAAGAGAAATTGAAAGAATATAGGAACTTTGGCAGGTCAACAAAGGAAACAAAAATCTAATGGAACAGTTATAGATAGCGAGATAGCGTCGTAATCGAAATCTACATTTGTTAGAGGAACTCAAATCTGAAAAAAAGAAAAGAAAAGAAAACATCTCGTCATATAAGATGAACAGATTTCTTCCCTAGAGGAATAAAGACGCAAAGCAAAGAAAGAAGAAATAAACAAGTCGAATGAAAAAAATAATTTTGCAAACAAAGAGAAAAGTGACAAATGTGGAGTTTGCAATAAATCTGACCGTTATGACGGCTGTAAATCTGGCAATCAATAAGTTCGCAAACGTTTTACGCCAGCGAGTAGCCATAGGTTTAATATGTTGTTAAGTGAAGACGACTTGCTTGGTCGGTGGAAATATATAATTCGAGCGAATAATAATAGCTTCTGGCCCACGGCCAATATTCGCGCGAAATATTATGTCACAATTTTTTGGACTTGTCTTTTTATTCGTATTTTAGAGCTTTGAGACAATAACGACGAGTTAAATGCCAGTGACAAACGAAAAGATATTTAAACATAAAATTCAAAACTGACAAAGTTATTTCATGTGAGATTAAAATGGTGTCTGTTGTTTGAACATATGTAAAAAAAATAATGTTATGATTTTTTCTAAAGATTTTGTGTTGGTTATAATTTGGTATAGCAAAATATTGTTATATGTAAATTCTTGTAAGTACTTCATTCCAAAGATTAATCGTTAATACTTATTAATTTAGTTAACTTTTAATCTATCAACCACTGTTGTTAGTTAAAAGACAGCTATCTATTAAGATAAAAAACATTGCAACTTCAACAAGAAACCACTTTTAATCATTTGAGAAAACGATTTTTACTTTCCATCAACATGGCTGATGCTAACCTTCTGAAGCATGACACATTGCGATTTCTCTGACTAACATTTTCCGCTGACATTTACTGGAAGGACTATATTGATTTAATTACTAGATCTGCTGCTTGGAAAGTTGGTTCCCTCTGTCATGCCAGAAAATCTTTCTCACCAGAATCTATCTTACATATTTATGGCTATCATTCTTCCATTATTTTAATATTGCTACCACGTCTGAGCTGACGCTCCTGCTATATATTGAGAGATATTATATTTAGAGATGTTTAATCATAGAAGAATCTGCAATGTTATTGTTCCTGACCTGGAATCTCTGCTTCTGTCACTTTCCCACTGGCTAAATGTAATTTAACTGTGGCATTTATATAAATACTTTTATAGAAATTGTTCTCATGAACTTTCCTCAATAATACGTAGGCTTTATGTATTTAAGCGCAGTACAAAATTGGCTGGAATATATCATTATTTTCTGGTTGAAATGGCAAGATATAAACGTGAATTCTCCGGCCTCTTGCTTAACAGTTAAATTTCAACTTGAAAAATGTAAATACCATGTAAATCGTTATTTTCTTTTTTTCTTAATTCTTGTTCTTAGTGGCTTTATTGTAATTCTTGGAGTGAAATAATTAAAATATATACAAATATATGAATATATATATATAGATAGATAGATAGAAAAACAGAAAAACAGGCAGAGTGAGACAGGAAATTATTGTGAGATGAAACAGTAGATAAATGTGGATGGATTATATTAAGAAATTTAAGTTTTTAATAGAATAACGATCTTATCTTTCAAAGGAGAAAGGGAATTGGCGAGGATTTAGTCCAGAAAATTGATGAAAATTATTGAGTAAAAAAAAACATATTCTGAGTTTTGATAAGAAGCATATGCATTACTTTTGAGGTGATTGTCATTCAAGTTTGTCATCATCTATGTGATAGTGCCCTTCATCATCGATTGGCTGTTCGCCCTTTCAAAGACCACCCATAATTTTAGACCAGTTTAAAGAAGCCAGGCGAGCTAAGACGCCGTGGGTTGAGGATTACATGATTGTGAAAATTTATTTTTATAAGCCACGAACACGTACAGACGCTGACTTAATATTGGACTAAAACACTCGATGAAACAGCGGCATCGACTCCCTGGGTTGCGATATTGACAATGGGCAGTATGCCGCCACATTTCTTGCTGTTTGCACTCAGGAGACACGCAAACGAATTTGGTGTGCATCACATTGATTAGGCGTGCATCACCATGGGCGATTCCGTTAGAATTGGCCAGAGACACGATTCGTTTTCTGATACTCCCTGGACGAGAAATATTAGTAAGTCTGTGTACTTAGCGGTTATCAATCCAAGCACATCGTGCCTATTATATCTTGTGTCATACTGAAAGCAATCCCGTTAATCATCTCGGTACGTATGTAAGAGAAGTGAAAAGGTTAAAGTTTTGCACAGGAAAAATAAGATTACCTTCCTTCGTCTCCCATTTAGAGTCAGCTAAACACTTAGGTTCATTCATTCACCTTCAAATTAACACACGCATACACAGAGAGGCATTTCTGCGATATATATATATATATATATATATATATATATATATATATTATTCTTAAAAGTGTGGTCAATACAGAGTAGAACAAATAGTATTTATTCAAAAGTAATACGATAAACATGTTATAACATCACTACAAAAATAGCCATTTTGTTCAGCACTTCTGGTATTGTGTCAAGTGATAGTGTTCATTGCAGAATAAAGATATTTAAAAAGTTCAAATCTAACGAAACTCCCTGCAATAGGAAAAACATTGTTACGTAAGTTACAATGACCAATCAAAATATAAGTATATGGTCATTCAAAAAAACTTGACAACGATATTTAGATAATATTTATCAATCCTTTAATATTAATGTTAGACTAAATTAGAAATCATTCTAACGCAGTAATTTTTAATTTTACTCTAAACTTAAAAATTAATAATTACAAATTTTAAATTTAACCTTCCGTTGAATTTAAAATATCAAATTATTGGAAGAAGGAATGGAGGAAAATATACATATATATATTTTTTTTATTTATTGTTTTAATCGAAAAGCTAAGTTTTCAGTTAGGGCAAACGCTAATCTAAGGAGGTTCAAACATCGTAACAACTAAGATACAATTGAAGGGATCTGAATTCAGATGATGTGGACAGGGGAAAAAGTTTTACAAATGGCAAGACAGATACAATCACATCGTAATACACAAGCACGTAAATATATTTAGATATATAAACACGTAAAAACACGGACGACACAGGAAGTAGAACAAGCCACGCCAAAATAAAATAATATCAGACACATATACATACAAATAAAATGATATACAAAAACACACTCATACACTAATAAAACATAGATACACACACCAAGATTCAAGCTTAAAAGAATTACTAAGCGAGTACAAAACAAACGTCAAAATGTTATATTCATGGGCAAGGATATATAGGTAAAAAGTGGGTTGAATTCATGAAGTTAATATTAAATTATTCCGACTACGTTAGTAAAATGCTATCTGTTGTAAGTGATAGTCGTAAGTTTCAGAAAATTGGAAAGGCCACTTGTGACGATACTTTAAAAATTGAAGATTACAGAAGAGATCGTTGGAACTTCATAAATTTAAATTTCTATCCAAAGAAATTTATAACAATAATAATAATAATAATCCTGTAGGTTCCCAACGCCCTCGGATGTATGGGGTGCCGAAAATACATGAAGAGGATGGTCCACCGAGGCCTATTTTGTCCATGCTTGATTCAGCCCAGCATAATTTGGCAGGTGACCCTAGCTTATTCTATTCAGAGTATTGTGTGCCTGATTCGTTTCAGTTTGCTGATTATATGCGCAAACTGAAACCAAATTCTGGCACTGAAATTTTCGTGAGGTTTTATATAACTTGTCTGTTCACGAATGTTCCATTAGATGAAACAACAGAAAATGTGTGCTGACATTTTGTATCGTGACCCTGTAAAGACACCACCTTTCCCTGAGATTGTATTTGCCGAGTTGATGGGCATGGCTACGAAGTCTGTCACTTTTAGCTTTGGCAGATTGATGGATGTAATAGAGAATCGGGTCAGCCCGATAAAAGACTCCGAGTTGGTTGTATGTGGTGCGGTAAGCTCCAAGAGTTGTGTCCTCTTCTCCTGTTGAGAGAAGACCTTCTACTTAGAGTAGGTGGCGCTAACTATTTGCATATGCACGATCCTAGGCAGGTATTAGACAATTGCTATATAACACCAGTGTTTTTTTCCGATCTGGATTTTGCAGCCCACACAAGACTCCGATGCCATCCGTCCATCCAGGACAATTCCGCCGACGTCCGTAGGGTAGGTTAATTTCACTTAGCGGAAACGTCTTCGCACGCCTTCTGTCAATGTCATCGGGCCCGCCCTCTTTGAGACTATGTCGGCGATTTGACGGCTTGTATCGCTCCCGAAATCTCGTGCTCGTTGATCGTGTATGCACGTGTGATAATTCGTCGCCCCGTTTTCTGGGGTGTTTCTATCGCTGCTGGCCACGGCCCGAATGGTGATTTGGACGATGCGATAAGAGGAAGTTTTGCAAGGCAACTGTCATTCTCATTTGGATCTAATCTGATTCTTTGAGCATTAGCTCAAGCTGAAGATTAGAACTGATAGAAAACGTTTGGCTTCGACATATTTTAGCGAAAGGTGGGTAAATGAAGCGGGCTAGGTCCGTGTGAACGTGACTAGCCTTCATTTTCATCTTTAGAAAACAATGAAACATTAAAAGAACATAAGGAAAATTTATTCCTTTAAAAATTCATTCCTTTTATTTGTCAGAAGAAGGTCACGAGAGGAAACTCGCGTAGCAAAACTATGAAAAATAAAATATACACTAAAACAAATCCACATTATAACCGAAAACGGTATATATATATATATATATATATATATATATATATATATATATATATATATATATATATATATATATTCGTTTGAAACAAAGCACATCAGCTTTAATCGGGTTATTTTCTCTTCAGTATCGTATACAAAACCTAAACAAAACAATTTCTAAATAATTTAGATTTTATTTTTAATATTTTTATTACTTCAAAATGCCACATTTTTATTTATTAAATAGTGTATATTAATTTATTCAGCCTGCGTATATATGACGTTGTGTCTATGTGTGTGATACTTAGAAATGGGAGTAGTATGTTTTTTTCGTGTTGAATATTAAGATGATGATCAAAATATAAAACCTGAATTCTTCACGAGTTAATTTTATTCAGAAATTCACTGAACATATACTGGATATTTTTCTTCATTTATTTTATATTTTTCTTTATTTGTTAATTTACACCCACAAACTCCGTCAATGTTTTGAATAATAAGCGATTTTACAATAAGACAGCTGCATAAATAAGAAAAGCTTATGTGGAAATTATGTAAGAT